TTGTCAGTTGTCAAGATGATTCCACACTGTTTTAATAATGTTGGCCAATCCATGACTGAGTGTTTTATTGTGTGTTTTTCTGTCCGGGTATGCTTTTAGTGCATTGGCAGTGTGTTTGGGATCATTGTAATGTTGAAAAATGTGGCCACTGGTAATCAGACACTTTCCAGATGGCATGGCATTGCGGCTCAAAATCTGATGGTACTTTTCTGAACCACAACCATTTAAATCAAATCTGAACCGAAGACCTGTTGCTGCTGATTTTCAGTTCACATCTTGTGTAATCCGGTATACTCTCTGGGGATCTTGCCCTTCGGCCGCGAGGGCTCTGACTGGGGCATCCCTCCTTCTTCTGGTGTGGGCACGCAGTTGTCATCGAGATGTGTATCCTTGGGTCTTCAGTACTCTCTTGGGCTGCAGATGACCCAGTCCCCTGGGTCTTTCTCTATGCATCTGGCTCCTGGAGGGCATTGTTGCACCTTCACACCCTCATTTCATCACAAACACAACACACACACACACAACACAGCAAGACTAGTGGTTAGTGCATGCATTTTTTTCACTTTTCAGGTGCTTTTCTTTGGATGTGTTTTCTTACAGGTGCAGCAGTAGGAGACCCACTGCATTTTCCCACTTGTGTTCTGTCCTCTTGTTATTATATTTTTACCTATTTTACCACTTTTTCCTTGCTATTTTTCTTCAACTCTGACATTGCCATATTACAAGTGCACTCATGTGAATAATAATAATAGAAATCAATAAATAAAAAAAGAAAAGAAAAGAAAAAGAAAAAGACAAACACAAACACAACAAGAGGAGCCTACAGCGAGTCTATGGAGCTCATCTTTGAAGAGCAAATATGCTTAGCACAACGATGCATTCGAATCCTGATTCTGACTCTGCAAAATCTGCCAGTCTCGACCAATGACTGTACAGCTTACAAAAAGACAACAATATGTACAAGTCTGAATAAAAGGTGACTCAAGACTTTTTTTTCTAATTTTATAATAACTAGCTAAAATATGTATGCATGGATTGTTTGTACAATAATGTTGAATTGAACTTGAAATTAGTTACTATTTCATGTAATTACATAAAATGTCCAGAAGATGGAGGCAGAGGGCTTTGTTTTGTGTTATGTGGTAGGCGTGACTGATGGGTTGAAGGAGAGGGTGGGTTTACATCAAGGTCCTTATCTGCTCTCTTGTTTTTTTCGACAGGCTGGAAGTTGAGGTCAGGCAGGTCACAAACGACAATGTGATCTGTAATGAGAGTAGCGAGCAGGTTGAAGGGCCCTGGAGAGGTGGAGATATGCTCAGGAGAAGGTGAATGAAAGCCAGTAGCAGCAACACAGAATACATGTGTGTGTGAATGGTGAAAGGTAAAGCTACAAGTAGTAGAGACAATGAAGGTGGGTGAGTTTAAAAACCTGGACTCAACCAACCAAAGCACCAGACAGTGCACCACAAGAAAGGTGAAGAAGTAGTGCAGGTGGAGTAGGTGGAGGTGAGTGTCAGGGCTCATTTGAGACAGAATGATAGCAACACAAGAGAAAGGGAAAGCCTGGAAGATGGTAGGGAGAGCTGCTAAGATGTATGGCTTGTGTTGGATTATAATATTATTTTATGCCATGTTAGACCCCTAATTAAAGATTGTGAATTATTATGTAGTTTTAGTTTGCATTATTCTCCTGAATTAGAAGAAGGTGATAACTATTACGTTTGTTAAACTGATTTGCATTACATTAGACTGCTGATTTATTGTGAATGAATGATATTGTTTTATGATGCATTATACTGCTGAGTTATAAGAAATACTGTTCGCAGAAAGTCATCGCCTTATTTGTCTGATTAGAAGAGAACAGAACATACTGGAGAGGTTTTCTACCCCATCTCAGCAGGAGCAGATAAACAGGGAGCCAAGGTCGTAGCTTAGGCGCTGTGTGAGAGAAAGGATGTGAATGTTTAGGCTTTCATGATTAGGTGGGGGCCACTAGAGGCTATAAGAGTTTGATCAATGCTCCACCATTTTGAGATCTGATGCTGTCTGCTGTATGGTGTCCATCTCCCACGCATGTATTCATTAAATCATCGTTTGACTCAACCCGGCCGGACCAGTGTTGTTATTTTGGTTTTCCTCTTGTATCCATCCCCAATATTTGAATCCGTGACACTTGGATACAGCAGCATTAACCAAAATAAAAACAGGAAGCTAAGCTGGAGGTATAAAATCCCCAAAGCTGAAGATGTTTGGGTTTTCAGTGGAAATGAGCTCTATGGAAAAGATGAGAAATGAAAAATATGGACGTAGACCTCTGAATAAGAATAAGAATTCTGTAGTAGTTTCGCTATCCTCTGGGGGGCAGTAGAGCGCCTTAAAGGCACATCTGACAAAATAACATTAAAAGAAGAAGCTTCTTCGTGGAGGGAATTTTTGTTTGGTAATATCAGTCTTCCTGAATTTTGAGACACCGAAACAGTTTTGTTTTATGGAGTAATATATTGTGCACTTTCTTAAACTGTAAGATTATTTTACTCATTCTGTTCAAGAAAAGGCAGACGGTGTGTTTTTACCTGTTGTCACTTTTTGAACGTAACATGTAGGAAAAAGTCGATGATTGTAAGTTGGCTAATAGGGATAACGTTACTAACTGTTGGAGAGAAAGAAATTAGACATGAAACATTAGCCCGAAGCTTTGTAAGCTGAAATGTGTAGTTAGATCTGTAGGGATTTCACGGTTTTTAAAACGGAAGGGCAGTTAAGTTACCCAGCAGTATTTTAAAATGTTAAAGTTGATCTTAAATCTGCAGTGTTGACTTTGAAAAGTAGAGCCAATCAACATTTGCTGTAGTGCATATTTTTAGTGTTTTGTGTTTCGTTAATACTGTCACTTATTTTTGTTCCTCCTTTCATTGTCTTAGGGAAGTAATGAGTGGACAGGATTCCAGGAGAGGCTCTTCTAGAGGAGGCAGGGGTGGATGGAGAGGAGGTAGTGGAAGTGGTGGCGGCGGTGGATGGAGAGGAGGAGGTAGTAGTGGTGGTGGTGGATGGAGAGGACGAGGTAGTAGTAGTAGTAGTGGTGGTGGTGGATGGAGAGGACGAGGTAATGGTGGAGGATGGAGAGGTAGACCATGGAGAGGAGGATCCGGAGGAGGTTGGAGAGGTGGAGCAGGAAACCATGCCTACAGAGCACAGAGAGGTGAGTTTCTGACACAAACAGTGTTTTTTCTTTTGTAAGAAACCATTAGTAGAACTATATTTTTCTGTTTCTATTGAAAAAAGACGAGGTGAATACATGCTACATATTAGTGTTACTGCTTTGTCTAAAAAAACCCACACATTTGTGATTGTTCAATGAATGAACAGCTGCAACAAAATAACCAACTGCTCAACTGTCTCTTCAGTCCTTTGTCAGACTACTCTTGATGCATTGTGTCCGTACAAAGGATGGACACTCTACTTCACAGATGGTATGTGTGCGTTAATGGGTCCTTGTCACGCTGTTACAATGGAAACTTTAGAAAGACGTCACATTTAATAGTCGGGATAATCTGTCTTTGTCTGTGTCTGTAATCTCCATGTCTTTTTATGTCCAGGATTTATAGAGAGTGGACCTAATGTGGAGAAGATCAAAGTGTTTGAGAAATATTTCACTTCCAGGATTCATCTGTTTGACAAGGTTCGTCAGATGAGCTCAGTGCACAACACACTGGCTCTTTGAGTTATCATTTGTCACAGCAATGGCACTACTTTGTGGCATCTTACTAAGAGACTTAGTATGTTTTTGTTCCTTTAATTTCTCATCCATCTATATTATTTTCTTTGTCTGTTTCCATGTCACTTAAAGTGGACTTTGTTTTTGTGTACAGGATGAAATTGAGCGTCAGGGAAGTGTCCTGGTTGATTATGCTGACTTGATTGCAGACAAAACTGTGCGTCAGGCACTTCCTGACATAGTCACACAACTGAAACAACAACCAGAGGTGATGCTGAACTGTTTGGGATTGGCTATTCACCAGGTACACACACAAAAGACCCTACCACACATTTTATGCTAG